TACTGGTTGAAGCAACTAAAAACCTGCACATTGGAAAAGATAGCAAACGTCTAAATATGCTTCGTTTGTGTCGCTTACAGCTTTCTCACTCTTTGTTTTCCAGTGTAGGTGTTACTCATCAAAGCTTTTACGCTAAATGGTTTTGAGCTGGCTGAAAAAATAAAATGTAGGTGGGGAGCGAAGAAGGATAAAGGAGAACAGTAAGAAAAAGGAAAAAGCGAAATAATACCGTTAGCATCCAAGTAGCGTTTTCAACTTCTTGTGGATTTGATTTTACATAGCGATGGTTGAAAGTGCTGCCATTGTGCATGTCAACCTTGTGATCATCTTTTAAATGGGCAACAAGATAAGGAATATCTCCAACGACGGTGCATTCAGAACCAGCATAGGGGCAGTTGTAGGGTCTATGGAGACACTGAGATTCATGCTTTAGCTTGCTGTAATAAGGGTATATGCCCATGCAACCAAAATTCTGGTATTTACATGGAAGTTCAAGAGAAGCAGCCACCTTCTCCAATGCAAGACACCTGATATTACCAAGTTCATGCCGGCAAGTTGGGCATCGGTTGTGAACCCTTGGTTTGCAAGCAGAACATAATGTGTGACCATTTGAACACTGCAAATAGGCAGAAGGCCAATTAAGTAACGAAAGGCATCTAATTTAAACATCGCACACATTCACTTCCTCAACTTCTTTCAACACTAGTTGTTACATTACGCTACCATTTTCCGATATCATTGAGTAGCACTTGTGTAAGTGATGCAAGTGAACGTGTATGGAAAAGCTGTTGACCAAGTGACCTGTTCGACTAATGCAATTTCTAAGACTGAACGCTTATCATTATTTTTGATAATATATTTGCTCACCACCATTATTTACCATTAGATCAATTTTTTTTTTGAGCCAGATTCATCCAATAGCAAACATTGAAGTGGTGAGCAAAAATGACCTCTATCATTAAATACAAAAATATCCAAATGAACCATAACTTTTCACTGCTCAAAGAAGGCATCCTCTAGCTTAAAGGAATAAGAAATTCCAGGTAATTGACTTTTAAGAAAACAGTATCTGATTCTACTTTCCACAAATGGTATGTGTCCAGAAGCTTCTGGAAGCAAAGTAGTCTTAAAAGGCCAAACAGCATTAAAACTGCAAAGTTGTAGAACGGTTTCTAGTAAGATACCCCTTTTTCCAAGCATGAACCACAAAGTAAGCAAAATGAGAAGCTGGAAAAACTTAACAGCCCACGATGCCTAAACTTACCATAACGACAATCAAACATATAACAATGCATGGAAGTTTATCTGACATCGCCAAAAGTAGACATTATTGAAAGAAAATATATCTAACTATTAATTGTTTCTATCTGCAAAACTAATGGGAGACGGAGGACTAAATGCACAGAAAGCAGTTCTGTTCTTGCATACTGCCTTCCATACCAAGGCCTTGGCCTTTAGTTCCTTTTTCTTCTCTAGTAAAAAGTGCTACATTTTTTGCTTAATAAATATCTAACAAAATTGAAAAAGAAAAAAAAAAAAAAACCATGTCACAGGAATAAATAAATTTGAACTTTCCAAAGGAAACGGTTTTAGAAAGAAAGAAAACAAATTTACATCAAACAAAGGACTCCATAAAGAATTTATGTAAGTAGGATAAGGAACACCAAATAGACCAAGATACATAATTCCTTTTTTAGCTTAAATTAGGGTCTTCTGATATCTTATTGCTTAAATACTGACATGTGCCAAAGACAGTATAGATTTGAGGGGAGAAACAAAATCCAACTCAATAATCAAAAGCACAACAAAAAGTACTTGGCAAGAGTTAGTAATGAATGAAGCAAATATGGCACAACAGAAACCCGTCTGCAAGTTTGCAGACAATAGCACCTCGTCTATCAGTTTCCCAACAGAACCCCTCCCACAAAACTATATTAAACAAGTCAAAACCTCACGCCACTTTAAAAGAATGAATTATTAGCATAGGCAAGAGTTAAGGGTACGCTAGCTTCAGTTATAGCATCTCCAATTAGGACGTAGAACAATTACTGGAATGAAAACTAAGGGAGTGAGTTTGACTTTATTTGATAAAGCAAAATTAATGAGTAATCAAACCTGATGAATTGGGGGGTACATAGCATTTAAGCATACAGGGCACTCCAGCAGCTCACGGACATTGCTAGAAACCATCACATTAGGTTTTAGGGTCTTTAAAGTAGCATCATCGACACTTTCTCCAACATCCAGCATGTCTTCACTTTGTGGAGGATCAATTACCTCAGATTTGGTCCGGATGTCATCAAAAAATGGACTACTAGATGCCATGCTGGCACACACAGCTACTAATCTAAGCCAAACACATAAAAGAAGCTCAATATATAGGTAAAGGCATGTTTTGATAGGAAACACACAACTACTTATCTGAGCCGAACATACAGCTACTTAATGTAGGAAACACCATGTTCAATTCACGCACCAAATTCTAAAGGCTCCAATCTAGAGAAGGGCAAAGCTTTCTAACCATATCTATTTTATGAAGGATAACCACAAGTAGAGAGAAGAACCACATATGTCCTTAAAAGCAAAAACTTTTTTCCATCAGAATATCTGGTTTTCTTTTCAAACTCTGTCAACACGCTATCAAAACATGCCTTCATTATATTCTAAGTCAATTTATAATCAAAACATGACTTCTTATTTTCTAAGACGATCTTTAAACTTCAAATTAACCCTTATGTTGTAGCACACTACAAGATAATGGTGTATCCATCATCCTTGGCTTGAGTGGCATGAGAAGGACAGGGGAGAAGTATATTGCATTTCCCATATAACGAATAACACCATACTTTCGGTGTATTTAACAAAGTGAGGGAAAAGAGCAGGACTGGCCGCCTATTTTTTTAAACAAAAGTGAAAAAACTCCATAACAATTATGTTTTACTTTTAGGATTCAAAAAAAACAAGAACCTATCATACCTCCCAGTTCTCAGAATTTTGAATACATTCGGGTAATTCAACTTATTAACGATCAAGCAGATCAATGTTCAAATTTTCAAAAATCAAGTTTTGGAGGAAATGTACAGTAAAGTCTGAATTTCAACAAACCGTCAGGATTCAAAATTGTAAAACTTCAAAATTCGCAAAAACATGAAACGAATTCAAAAAACTAAACGATCAATGCAGATCGGAACAGAAACAAAGCACTTAAGAAGGGTTCGTCGAAATGCTACAATCAGACTCTAACTAAGATCGCATGCCCACATGAAATTCAAAGTCAATTCCACAGACAGATCTATAATATCAAACTATTCGACCTTATATTCCATAAATTTCTAATGGGTCACCACAAATTGAAAAACCCATTAGAGAAAACTCAATATAAATAAAACCCAACAAATTTAAGCTGGAAAAATGAAAAATTTATACCTTTGAGATGGCGTGGTTGAATCAAACGCCCATTGCAGAGAGAGATAGAAAGGAGAGAGAGAGGGAGAAGTTTGGTAGGTGGCCGACTATGGAGAATTGTCCGCTGCAGGCTGCAGTAATATATTAAAGGGAGACGAGGAAATGCGCGTTTGCGAACTCGAGGAATTTCAAATTAAAGCCGTTCGGGAGAGAAAGAAAGAAAGGAGGAGGACCGGTGGAGCGTGGCTTTTAGGAGAAAGCGACAGAGAGAGAGAGAGATACAAAAGTGGAAAGCTCAATTGTCAAAGTCGAAGCGGAAGAAATTTTTCAATATGATCGGTACATTACTGTTACATCATATGCTATTATATAAACTAGCCTCTCTGCACGCACTAACGTGCGTGCGAGAGGCATTTTTGCATCACGGGTGCTACGCGCCCCAAAGATGTGTTGTTTTAGATATTCGTATATTTCTTAAGTGATTATGTTATAAATTGTGTTTGTGTCCATCACAACAATTTCTTATTATTTTCAATTTTTTATTATGTTCAATCATCTAACTTAGTCTTTTTGCACTTGCCCATTGTACCCAAAAATGAAATTTATGAATTGTACACTAACCAATCCACCTTTTTTTTCTTTTTTTTTTTGCTTGCTAATTATTATGGTGTCTTTTTTTTTTGTTTGGCTGATAGAAATTGATTTCACGAAATGAGCTATGCTTGATCATTATTATGACTTTGGTAATTAAGTTACTTAGTCTAGTTAGAATTTTGTTATCTCCATCAGTACCATTTTACCCTTATATATTGTACAGAAGAAGATCAAGAGTTAGGTTCCTTAAACTCTCATATAAAAAATAAAAAAAATATGCTTAATTATTTAATGTTGTATGGAAAATATGAAATGATCAATATATTTTGTAGCATGAGGATTAGTGGCTGTATTAGAAGGGTGCACAACAGCATTTTTTTTATTATGGTGGACAAAAAGGTATTATGGGCAATATTTGGCGTCATTCGAGCAGGTTGGCAGATCATTTGTTCAATGGTTGTGTGAATGGGATAGTTGATGCAGTTAGAGAAGTGAGTACATAATTATGGGTGTGCCATTTTGGGTTGGGACTGAGATGTTCAACATTAGAGCATGGGCCAGGCTACGTAGTTCCAATTGCTTGAGTTGAAGAAAGGTTGATGAGATAATAGTGTTACCGTACAATCATCCCATCATTCCAAAGTGATAATGGAGTTATCGCATGCCATATTGTCATATTGCCACATTTGTTGAATAATTTAGGAGCATATATTCCATCCAATTTGCACATATGTGAGTAATCTCTCATACATTTTTTACTATTTTTTCTTTAAAACAACAACGAAGATAAAATGGGAAACATATACTATTTATAAATAAAAAAATATGAAAATATGACATGTAATTTGATTTCTAAATACATATTGACAACACTTAATGTCCTTAAATCAAAATGTTTCAGATTCATAAGTTTTCAATCAAAGTTATAAGCTAGCTAGGGATGAACTCCTAATATATGAAGCAAAGCAAAATATGGACAACATGTACATATGTAAACATAGCGCCTATGTGTGAAATCAAAGCCATGCTTGCCACCCATTTGCTTGCACTTGATGTTTTAGATTTTCATGGTTAATCTGCAAGCAATGATGATAAAATAAGAAGTCTAACTATAATGCACAATCACAACTATAAAGATTGTAAGCAACTTAACCTAAATACCTTTAAGTTTGACAATTTTCTCATGGCAATACTTTTACTCCAGTTACTTGTAGAATACTGAAAGATAAATATATTTGTCAAGTTTGAGGTAACAAATTGTAACAATATTTACAAAATTAAATAATAAGAAATATTACCTTAATCTTGTACTTCAACCTTTGTACTTTGAGACGGGTGTGATGCTTGTAAAACTGACAAAAAATGCAATTTTATTTATATTTGAAAATTGAATGCAATTTGAATTTATAGTATACTTTTGTATGAAAATAAGAGAAGACTTACCGTATTTAGAAAAGTTGTTTGGCCACTGTTAATCTTTTTTCTGCACCCATAAATTGTTTTATTTTATTTTATAATTTGAGATAATTAATTTGTAGAATCATATAGAGAATGCCATTAAAAATAAATAGGTAAGAAATGGTGTTGTACCTTATTTGTTGGACTTTATTCCAAATACGTATGATCTGAGGAGTTGTTGAAGGTTTTAATTCTTCCACAGCCTTTTTCATGCGCCACCTATATATTGAAGGTATATATAATGTTAGATTTCTTGTAACAAATTTGTATATAATTTAGGATACATACTGCTCATGCTTCTTCTTTTTCCACTCTTTGAGAATCAGTTGACTTAGATCAGTAGTTTTTACTCCGACAGATATCTCCCAACCAGGTGTAAAAATAGAGACACGTCTGTTTGAGATCTTATCAATAGGTTCCTTCTTCATTTTTTGTGGGTATTCTTGTAAATATCCTAAGAATGAAAACAAATAATTTTTAAAATTACCATAGCACACGTATAGCACATTAAGATAATCAAAAGTGAAACTCATAATCTGACCGAAATTTTAAAAAACACACAATGAAGATTTCAAAGGAAGAAGTTAAAAGAACCCATATGAAGCTAAACCTGGATATTCATACAATTACATATTATGCTTACATGAAGATGTGTAAAATGAGTACAACCATGCAGGGAAAAAAGTGAAAAAAAGAAGCTTACACCTAGATTAATTTCCTTTCTACGCCTGGGGAGAGGGAGTGGGAGAAGAACGGCAAAGCAAAAAAGCGAAAAAATTGAAATAAAGAAGAATGATGAATCGGGCGTTGCATAATACCTGTTTTATCCTACGTTGGAGTGTGAGAGTCTGTAAAACCAAGCAACAACTGTTGATAGCAGTTGTATAACTGAGGGGAAAATTAACATTTGAATTTGGATATGGGAAAATAAGTAGGAACAGAAAAAATGGGATTATACGAACGGGGAAGTTAGTGCTTGTAGTGGGCAAGCTTCACAGTTTTTTGAAAACCCACGGCAACCTTTACCCCATTCTTTCTCCCACGTTGGTTTCATTTATTTATTTATTTTTTTAATCTATATATCATTTTATAAGATATTAGTATCTCCTCCTAGAATGGATAGAAATTTGTTGGAGACATCCTAATCCGTCTAAATTAGTTGGACCATATGCATATGTTAGTATAATGTATTAGATACTTTTTTAATATAGATATTAATATTTTCTCCTAAAATGGAGGAGAAGTTATTCCGTTCTTGTTGTTTTATTTGTTTTTTTCCCCAACATAACAATTTTGAATTTCTCTGTTTAATATCTCTCTCCTAAAATAGAAAGCAGTTATTCACCATGTGGCCTTTTTTTAACTTTATTTTTTTAATATTTATCTCCTAAAATGATGTTCTCGACTTTATTTTTTTAATTTGTTTTTGTTGCCTTTATCATTTATCTCTCCCTCCTCTCCATAACTGCTATCTTTTAGAGGATAATTATCATGATTTTTTATCTCCTCCTAAAATGGATAGAAATTAGTTGAAACATCCTAATCCGTCTAAATTAGTCAGACCATATGCAGATATTAGTATAATTTATTAGATTTTTTTAATATAGATATTAATATTTTCTCCTAAAATGGAGAAGTTATTCCGTTCTTGTTTTGTTTTTTTTTCCAACATAACAAATTTTAATTTTTCTGTTTAATATCTCTCTCCTAAAATGGAGAGCAGTTATTCACCATGTGGCCATTTTTTCACTTTATTTTTAATATTTATCTCCTAAAATGGTGTTCTCCACTTTATTTTTTAATTGATTTGTTTTTATTAAAGTGTTGATTTTTGTTTTTAGTTAAAATGTTGTATTTTAGGGTCTTAAAAGAAAATGAGGAACTGGACGCACTTTTTTCTTTGTTTTACTGTCTAAACCGCAATACTGCTAAATTTTAGAGGATAATTATGATGTTTTTTTTTATTTTTTTATTTTCTGAAGTTTATTATTTTCCAATACAGTTTTTTTGTTCGGTTATGGTTTTTTTTACCAATTTGTCCTACCTTTTTGAACTTTTAAAGGTTTGATTGTGTAGATAACAAAGGGACTTTCTTGGCATTTTGAAATGCTTCACCAATTTGGCCTTTGATTTCTAAATTGTACAATATTACTACTTTGTTGGGTAGTTGTTAATTATTTTCTCTATCAAAGTAAGAACATAATTGGAATATTAAAAGCTTCACTTATTTAGGCTTCTCTCTTTATATATATAGATATAGATTAAGCAAACCAGAAATCAAAACACAGTTTGAGACGTTTTCGCAAACACTTTGTAAACTAATACAGTGATATGCAATCTCTTGCATGGAAAACAAATTAGAAATACATAGCACAACTCTATACTATATATCGTATTTGGCAGATCTATGAATAATCAAATAGCATCAATATGATCAGAAATGAATGATCAATGAGAAACAGTTAATTAATGGCAGTGAATTTGATTTGAAAAGAGACTAATAAAAATACTGCTAAAGAAGCCGCACTTGTCGTTTATGGTGAGTGAAAGGCTACTTCAAGAAGCTGCAGTTGTTGATCACGGCGAGTGAAATGGGTTTTCCTGTAAAAGAAAATTAACATGAAGGCTTTCCTGTTTTCCTTCCTTCTTTGTTCCTGCGTTCTAAATTATCTGACAATTCACTTTGTGGATATAATAGTAGAAAAAGAGAATATTGGAGAAACAAAGTGTAAACGAAATACGTAAACAATGGCTTCGATTTTCTGCAAAAGGAGAGAAAACTGAACCTTACCTGAAGAAAAATTTAAATTAAGCAATAGATTATGGGGCGTTACCTTTAAAAATGGCCATATGATGCTCCGCCTTCCTGCAATGCACTTTGCACGGGAATAAACAGGAAAAAATTTGGGAAAAATAATGGATAAATAGAAGCGATCCCAGAATCTGAAATTAAAACGCAGGATAAAAAGGGAGATAGAAATCAAATGCCAAAGAAGACAAAAGAGAAGAAAAGGGTGGAAGCAAATACCTGAGAGATTGGCGATCAATTAAATGTGGAATCAAATGGCAACTGCCCATAGCAGTTTGAAATCTGATGCCACGTTCATTTTCTCCTCGTGTCAAGTTGCACGATGGTGTCGGTTTAATACATGCTTCAGATACAGTTTCTCTGATATATAATTTAAATTATTTTTTACGTTTTTGTCCTCGATTTTGGGATTTTTTGGACTTTGATTGTGAAGAAAACGAAGGGGTTTTATTGGCATTTTTGAAAGCTTCACCAAACTGGGGCTCTCACTTTATATATATAGATAATAAAATATTTGTATTAAAAAATTAATAATTTAAAAAATAAAATTTATTATTATTTCTATTAAAATACGTAGTTTACCGTTTGTGTTTCTATTACATTAAAAAATTTCTCTAAAAACGGAAGCGAGTGGGTCTCCGCTCACTGTTCTTGTCTTAATTCCCAAAAGTATATAAACAGTTTTCTCAAACTTTTTTTTCTTTCAAATTGCAAATCATTCGCACCAAACATAACCTAATTAATTGGGTATCATTAAACTTTGTCGACACAGAAAAATTAAAAAGAAATTAACTTTTGAGGGTATGACCGTCTGAAATTTATTTACCCAAAAAAGCCTCCTGGTTGATTATGTTAATGATTAGTGGAGCTAGTTAATATGCTAAAAGATTCTGCATGGATAAAAAGTTAAAAATCCTGATGGGTTTATCATGGTAATTAAGTTTAACCTCAAATCAAAGAATCAATCACTCACAGAACCATATACATGAAAGAATAGAGTATCACTTACTACAATATCGAGAAAATACATAATCGACAAGCAAATCACAGTTTGACATGTGTGCATAAATTTTTTTTTGTGTGAATTTAACGAGTTGTTTTTGCATTAGTGTTAGACTGTAATTTGCAATTAACGATCGTGAAATGACTCTTTACATGTAAGGAGTCGGTGTCTGTACAAACATATCATACACACTACACAAAAAGTGCAGATTAGACTTGTATTGTATGTGACTCTCTAAGACTGTTTGGGCAATCTACAATGGAACTTAGGTCAACATATATAACTCTTCAACCTGCCAATGTTCGTTTAAGTCCAGCTCTTTGGTCTGGGGTCAGTCTTTTAGGGAAGCTGATCTCAAATATGATCTTCAAATCACCCCTATTCCCAGGCTCCTTTGCTATTGGCATACCTTCCCTGGCAACGACAAGCTCGTAGCCCGGGTTCACAATGTCAGTCACCGGAATTGATAAATCGCGACCATCAAGCGTGGTTAAGTTCACCGTGGTTCCGCCCAATGCCTCGGCCAATGTCACCTTTTTGTTCACAACGAGGTCATTGCCATCTCTCTTGTAAGTATTGTGTGCTTTCTCATCAATCACAAACACAAGGTCTGCTGGCAGGTGACCTAGCTGCTCGTTTCCTTTATCTGGGAATGTAATCTTGGTTCCCTTCTTCCATCCTGGCTTCACATCAATCGTCAATATTTCTTGTTCCATCACTTGGCGTCTGCAAAGCAAAATAAGTCGGTTGACATAACGTAGATATTTATATTGGAAGCTGATATTGGCACTTAAAAATAGTCGTACAACAATCCTTCCTTAATGAAAAAGTTAACAAGGGGAGGGCGCATAATGACTATTTTATATCATCGTTTACAACAAACGATCATGAATGAAACTATATCACGTTGGCTAAATCTATACATGTGCAACTAGCTAGTAAGAAATGAATCAATAAAGAAAGAAAATAGGAGAGTGTTAAAAATGGGTACCCATTTGCATCAATCACACTCCTTGATATCTTCATCTTCCTTGTTGATCCAGAATACAGCTCCTCAAGGCTGCATGGCAATTTGCTCTCAACTGCTTGTGGTTTCTTTGGTGTGACACCTTCACTATATGATCGAAAAATATTTTCACCACCACCACCAAATCCCCCGAACGTCCCCCCTCCATCGGATGAAAACCTCATGGATTTCCCAGGTCCTGATGATCCAAATCCGAAAGGACTGCTTCCGAAGAATTCCGCAAAAATGTCCTCCGCGTTCCTAGGATTAAATCCCTTGGATCCACCTCCATATGAGAATCCACCACTTCCAGGTGGTGGGATATCTTTCAAACCTTCTTCACCATCCTGATCATAAACTTGTCTTTTCTGAGGATCACTCAACACCTGGATTCACAAAACCATTACGTTATTTTATTCACACAACTAGCTAGAACAAAATTGAATCTTAACTGCTTGCATATATAAATGAAGGAGCACAGACTGTGAGATGCTATCCAGAGAGAGGCATTTAATTTCCGCTCATCTTTTTTATCCTTCTTCGTACTCTTGTTTATTGACGCCATTTGATTATTTTCTACTTTATTCAATATGAATGCTAGAAATAAACCGGGATGTGTAAAAACGGAAAAATTGTGCGTGAAAATCACTGCCTTTAATTTAGTGCAATCTAACTAAGCACAATCTAGGCTCATGGCCCCATGTATTTGGTTTTAAATGCAGAGTTGTTGGGAAAGGGAAAGAAGATGCACACATGAGTGTATGAATCGATATTGCCAAAACATGTATCTGATATGTTATCGATATATTGTATTAGTGAATATAATATGACACATTATTGATGACATATTGATAATAAAAAACAGACGTCTCTTTCCTAACAAAATTATAGAATAATTAAATAAATGAATGTGTACGAGAAATACAAGAAAAGAGAGAGAGAGAGAGATGCATGCCTCATAAGCCTCAGAGATCTACTTGAATCTGGCTTCTGCTTCTTTTTTGTCATTGGGGTTCTTGTCCGGGTGCCATTTCATGGCCAGCTTCCTATACTTCTTCTTTATATCATCTTCTGTAGCATTCTTGTTCACCTTCAATACGCTGTAATAATCCACCCCCATTCTCTCTCTCTCTCTCTCTCTCTCTCTCGAACAAAATTATGAACATAAAGATTAAGACTTGAGGGTCGATCATCAGAAAGAGGAAAATGGTGAGGTGCAGGGATTTCAATTTTGATTGGTCTTCTTCTTCTTCAGAGAATCAGAATATGTCACAAGAAAAAGAGAGAATATGAATGTTTGATGTCATGCTTCCTCCCTCATAAACTTTTTCCCTTTTTTAGGTTGCAGTGAAATTATGGTATATTTTGTTAAGACACAATGACGGCATGACTCCTATTTACAAGGAAGGAGAATGTGGATCATGGGACTTTTTTGGATGCTTCTGAGTCCTTAATATTTTGAATGTCTTAACCGTTAGATCTTTATTTTAAAAACACAAAAATTAAGATATATACAACTGTTAAAGCATCCGAAATACCTAGTAATCTGGAGCACCCAAATTTTTTTATAGTATCATTTTTTATTTTAGTTATGTTTCTACTTTACTGTTGGCTTCTAAAATTGTTGGACTAAGTCATATAATGGTGTATGATGGTGCGTAATGATCTTTCCATCTACTTTCTCATTTCATTTTACGAGTGTATAATGGTGTTTAATAATCAGAACGGTCAATTTTCTAAATATTTTTTTTAACAAACGACATTATCTACATTAAGAGAGAGGTTGACTTAATCTCATAATGAGCTAGCAATAATGTGGTTGAAATTGGCGAGAATTGAACCTAAAATTTCTTACTTATAAATGAAGAAAAATATCACTGGATCACACTACTAAATGGCTCTAAAGAATCTTTAAAGATTAACTTCTTAAAAAATCAACCGAATTAGAAATCGATTCCCGGTCAGATCAATGATGTCGTAATTTTAGTTTTATACCATGTAGCCCAAAAATCTCATAGATTGGATAGCAGCCCATCACTACCTAACAGGGCCCAACAGTAGCCCAAACCTGTCCCCACCACCTAATCCAAAGTTTTCTCTCTCTGGGGTCCCTCTCTCTCCTCTCCCTCTCCTCCGGTTTACTTTCCTCCCCCGTCTTCGATTCCGCAAACTCACCTTCTTCTCGGCCTCATCTTCTTCGAACCCATCTCCTTGTTCTTCTCAGCCTCTCACAGTCGCAGCATCACTCGCCCACACACTCTCTCACTCACTCCAGGTACACCTCTTAAACCCCCTTTTGTATTTTTATCTTTCCTGATTGATGATTTATTTTGGGTTTTATTAATAGTTTAATTTGGAGTTTAATTGAAGGTTTAATTCAGGTTTGTAGTTGGGGTTTAATTGAGGGTTTTACTTAGGTTTTGAATTAGGTGGGTTTTTGGTATTTCAGCTCCCCAGGTTTTTCACTTTCATTGTGGGTTGTTGTTTTTGGATTTAATTAACTTTGGGTTTTATTTTTCTCAAATTCCCAGCTGATTTGGCTTTCAAATAAAAACCAACAAATCACCTAAAAAAAAAGCTCCCATTTGTAATTTGAGGAGCTTTGTTGGGTTTTGTTTGGTTGCCCTAGACGACGGATAATAAGGGTTCTGTTTGAATGTAATGATTTGAAGTTTATATCTTTGAACATTTGCAGGTTAAATTTGGTGATAGCCATGCCAGACGTGCATTCCCTTGTGAATGATTTCCTTATTAAGCTTAAAAAGCGGTTAGTTGTTCTTTGGCGCACTTTGATAGACTATACTGGCACAAGCTGCGTGCTCAAGAGACTATACTGGTTAATAGGCATCTTTCATAATTCATAATTTGATTGCGAATATTTTGTTGTTGCAGTAAAATTGAGGGCTCGCTGGCCACCGCAAAACAGACGGCTGAATTAATTCGGTCGGTAATTTCAGCGCAGCGGGTGCCCTACACAAATCAAGCTGGAGCATTGATTGATGCTGTGAAGGCTGTTGGGGAGCAGCTGATTGCTGCAAATCCTGTTGGTAGGTGTTTTGAAAGATGGTTCAATGTTGCTATTTTTAATGGGTAAATTTTTCCATTAGTACAAAGGTCATTTATGTTACTTGGACATCTTTGTCTGTAATGTCTGAAAAGACACGGGACTGTGGATGGACATCTCATCTCAATGACTTGTTACTGTTTAAAATATTTGTTCTTTGTAGCAGTCATTTTGGAGGAGTCATATAGCTTTCAAATTGTAGTAATATGAACTTCAACACTTTTGCGACCATGTTTTTGTCGCCTTTCAAATTGGACTTTATCTTTGTTAGTGATATGAGTAGACTTGGAGTTGTTATTTTATCAAGTTTGGAATGCAGATATAATAACAGACTGTCTTCTTTTTAAGTAGCATAAATGCAGTGGGCAGTAGTGAGTATCAGGGTTGATAATGTTATATTTTTACCTTTTGTGTTGCTGTAGTTGGTACTTTTGATAGAGTACTCATTTGACTTTGAAGAATATAGTCAAATTACATAAATATATAAGTGTACTACAGATTATCCTGTTAAAAGGATAGTTGGTTTACAGTCTTCTTTCGTTTCGAAAAAAAAGAAGGATAGTTAGTTGATTACAGTGACCAATTTGTAGTGAATCATCCAAAGCTGAGAAGTTCCTCTCTGTTTACGGTCAATCAATATGTATAATAACTTTTATTTCCTAGGAGGAGAAATGTGGAAGATAATGTTTCTTCAGCTTTCACGTGGGTCCCCTGAAGAAAAGCCAATAGTAACCTCTTTTCTAGATAAGCAAATACTTTGATACAAAAATTCTGTCCTTGTTTTTGTTCAAGGAGTTTGGACGGCTAGAATTGGCAAGGGCAAGTGTCAAATTCCTCGTGGGTGCGGGGTTAAGTGCTCTGCTATTGGAGCTATATGCCTCCTAGCATGCCCTCCCCACCAAAAAAATACCTCTGCACGAGAAGGGAAAGCTAGGTTATGTTGTCGCTCCTACTGTATATGACCCATAAACCTTAACGAAGTTTGAGATATAATCACCTAGCTTTGCGTAAACGCAACCCCTACTTCTTCCTTGTTAATATGAAGTCCTTATTTGTTGTTTAAAAGAAAAAAAGGAGGGGACATGGCAACCCTTATTGAAGCTTATGTGGCACTTACATAAAAGTTTATAGATTCGTTTGAGAGATAAGTAGTGAGGATAACTTGATCATTTTCAGCACATAAAGGGGAGTTTTAGTAGCGGTTAATTGGACAGGCTGTTGAACTAGCTGCTCAACTTGTTCTTAGAAAGATATTTGAAATGTACATATTAGAGAAGCATGAAGGAGGTTATTATGCACATCTGTGCGTGTCTTCATTTAATTTTTTTTGTCAAGGACATTTTTAGGTCAAAGCACGTGAATGTTTATTTTCTTGCAATCCTATTGAAACTATAACTTTTGTTAGCTAGGTCTAATGATTATGTTAGCCAAGTCTAATTATCAAATTTTCTAGAATTCATTGTGCATGCAAAACTTTAGCATTTTGCCATTTTTATTTGTGTATCTTTAGTTAATACTCATGTATTACGAAACAAAATGATATCTCCTTTTAACCAAAGAAAACAAGTGATATATCTCCCAGGCATATAGAGCAAAGTTACATGATGTATGCATTTGAATTTAGATATATTTATCTTAAGATACGCTGCAAAATCTTTTTCTTATAATATGGACGTAGAGGCTTATTTTTTTTATTTTCATAATAATGTTTTGCACATATGATCGCAGAGCTTGCTGTGGGTAATATTGCGAGGCGTGTTTTGCACATTATTAGGGAGGAGGAACATTCTCTCACTACTGCTGCTATGGCTGGGTTGAACATGTCAACTGTTAGTGATGATGAAGATGATGTTGACCATGACAACCATCCGGTTCTATCTGCTGCTGTTGTTGCGGCTGCTGCAAGAAGCACACTGCGTCCACCATCTTTGCAAACACTGCTTGAGGACATACCTGATGCAGCAGCTGTTCCTCGCACTTCTTCATCTGGGGGTGATTCTGAAGAAAAAACCAAATGTATGATTTTCATTCTTAGCATCATTGAGAAACTTCTTTAGATACACCTTTCATTTTCCTCTTTTGATTAGAAAAAACAAAAAAAAAAAAGGTTAAAGGATATACACATTTGATATTTATTTCTGATCATAAATGTGGTATTTGTGTTTGGAAATTAGTCAATTAAAAACTAGTTTTTTAGTGGTCTGGCTTGTGGTGGTGGAATCGAAGTTAGTACCTTTTAACGGCAGATTATACAGCCATATGACTTATAGATATATGTTTTCTTTCATAGCTGCTGAAAAAAGTTCAAAAAGTCGGAAGCTGAAGCATGGTGTTATTGAAGCAGTCAATGAACTTATACAAGATATTGGCACTTGCCATGAACAGATTGCTGAGCAAGCAGTAGAGCACATTCACCATAAGTATGTATTGACCTCAAGCCTTGGCTATTAAGTTTGTCTCACTGTTACAGTTTATTTTTTTTCTTTCAACTAGAAAAGCATCCTTCAGTCATAATATGCTTATTTTCAATGTAAAAATGTGTATGAAATATAGTAAGTGGTGCTAAGTTTGATTTTGCGTGAGATTGCTATGTGCTATTGTTCTAACTTCTAACACGTATATGAGGTGGTTAGACTTTTTGGTGATTTTATTTTAGGCTCAGTGTGGTTGAGGTGCTAAGATAAACTCTTCGGTGTTCGACGTAGCAGCGGTAGAAAATTTTTTCGAGTTTAGCTACTAAACATAAATTAATTAGGGCCAAACGTGCTTCCATCTGTCCATCAATCTTTCAAGCACCCTTGCGACTGAGTCACAGTCACATTGTATTTCATTTGTTTGTATTTATTTGTATTTATTTGAGAAATGCAAAATTAAGCTACCTTTTCTTGAGGAAAGATTTCCGTATCATGAGGGCTCTTTCTTATTGATTCATGCACATTTTTATTCCTTTAGTTGGTGTTTATCTTTAGGATTGAATTAGTATCTAGGATATAGGCCTACATCGGAAGTCCTGAACCCTTAGAAACCCAGAACCTTATGCACTCCAGTGACACTCTCTGGTAAGCACATCATTCTCTTCATACCAAAAAAAAAAAAAATATCATATTTCTCCAGAAAAGAATTAGACAGGGCAAAGATTGCAAAGATCGCATATCTTGATAAATAGGAGACTGCAAAACATGAAAAAAAAAATGAGACCTCAATGAGAATATTTTGCTAGAGTGGCTTGTGGTTGATTTTAATTGATGTTTCATTGTGGTTATTTAAATCATGCTGCTAACTGCTTTTCTTTTGCAGTGAGGTTATATTAACTTTAGGTAGTTCAAGAACAGTACTGGAATTTCTATGTGCCGCTAAGGAGAAAAAAAGATCGTTTCGGGTATTTGTTGCAGAGGGAGCTCCAAGGTTAGTGTAAAAGTCTGCATATTTGTTACAGCGAATAAGATCCGTACTGATGTAATTTTGATAAATTATTGGTAACCATTGTTATTAATTGATTTGTATTAGGTATCAGGGGCATCTTCTTGCTAGAGAACTAGTTGCAAGAGGTTTACAGACCACGCTGATAACTGATTCAGCTGTTTTTGCCATGATATCTCGAGTCAACATGGTATGATGTGATCTTAGTATATTTTTTCGGTTTTTCCCAATATGAAACTCTACATCCTTGTTCACCCATTCAGCTTCATATTGATTTTTTAATGTTAAAGGTTATCGTTGGCGCTCATGCTGTCATGGCCAATGGGGGGGTCATAGCACCTGTCGGGTTGAATATGGTAGCACTTGCAGCACAAAGGCATGCTGTCCCTTTTGTTGTACTTGCCGGCAGTCACAAGGTAAGTCAATTCAATCACTGTTCGGCGTGCCTTGGAGATTCTATAGACTTGCTGTCATTCATAAATTGGGTTTCTTTTAAAATCAAGATGCGAAGCTGAAGAAGTGGGTTCCACCATTAGAGAATTTTCAATGAATAGATTAACATGAGATAAACATCTTTTGGGGTTCTAGGAAATAGAGACACAAGGGAAAGATGAAAGAGCAGGTTAGAAAGGCATGATTCCCATCTGCATCTTAGAAGGACTATTTAAACTCAAACAGATCTACCTGTGATGAATCAGTATTGCCTAAATTAAGTTACTAAAGTAAAATTTCAGTCCCATCTATCTGATAAGTGTCCTCAGACTCAAAACACGCAAAAAAAATGGAATTGCAAAGTATACAACAATTTTCTTGTCTTGTAATACTGTTTAAAATGTCGACCAATACACTATAGTTTCTTATAATTCCAGTTCAAACTATCTTGAATAATTCACTTTCTCTATATTCATGGCATTCTCACATCATCCAAAAAGGCATCGTGATACTCATGTTACTGTCTGAGTTATTTTCTAAAGTAGGCTCTGTTAATGTTTAGTTGTTAACTTATTCAAGTTTTTAATGGCTGCTTCCTAGTATTTTATTAGCCTTGTTTTTGCTTGTTTAGACTAGATTGGGGATCAGATCCTATGGGATTTTGTATATGGAGTTGTTGTTAACTGGATTGAATCATTGAACTGGGCGTCATTTCATCTGCAGCTCTTTTCTTGAACTTTAGCCCTAAAGCGATTTCTTTAATCCAATTCTTTTCCTGGTGGTTTACATGACAGTTGTGCCCTTTGTATCCTCACAATCCTGAAGTTTTACTTAATGAGTTAAGATCTCCTTCTGAGCTACTGGATTTTGGAGAGTTCTCAGATTGCATGGATTTTGGAAGTGGCACTGCTTCTTCACTTCTTCAAGTTGTCAATCCTACATTTGATTATGTGCCACCAAAGCTTGTCAGTCTATTTATCACTGATACGTAAGTCAACTAATTTCATGCACCAAATGGAACTGAATTCATAGATTAAAGATTTCACTTATTGAATTTCTAGTCTATTGTTTGTAGGAACCAATGAAAAGGAAAATTAATATTTTGGTCAGATGCAATCATATAAAATTCTCTTCTGAGTATTTCATACTTATTAGTTTTCTATTTCCCGACTACCTAGCTAATTTATAACTTACCATTGTTATTCCGTCACAGGGGAGGGCATAATCCTTCATATGTGTACCGGCTCATCGCAGATTATTATTCTGCTGATGATTTGGTGGTCCAACGAAGACCTGCTATGGGCAGTTGAGTTCAGCTCCCACATGTTTATCATATTCTTGGGTAAGTTTTTAGTCTAATTTTAGTCTCACAACCATTGGTATGTGTCTGGTGTATTCACGTAAAGTACATCACTTTACAACCGTTTTGAAATCCAGTACCAGAAAAAGTGAACTTTCAAATTCTAGGATCAGTTATAATTGATTCACACAGCACAAATTTATTCTCTACGCCGAACTTTGAAAGGCTGTTTTTCGTTTTTACCCTTCTGAAAGTTTGACATGTTCAAAGTTTTATTTGAGTGTTTATATCTGTTGTATGCTCTTTCTGGCTTCTTATGGTTTTTGGTTATTTCCGCTAATTTAAGTTAGTCTTCGCATTGGGTTCAATGAAGAAAAAAATCTCGTTTTAATATCCTCATATGTATTGATTCCATTTTTGTCACGATCCGCCTTAAGCCGCATTTTCTTTGTTTTTGTAGATTAGTCCAACTAATACAGGTGGAAAGATGTTCCTGAATTTTGATTTCAATCCTAATCAGAAAACTGAAAAATTTTAATAGAATAGCTAACAATAATGTAAGGAACCTGATCTAAACTTTTTGTTTTTATTTAAAAAAAAAATGGTGCCTTCTGTTGTATGTGTTCGAAAATTCGCTTATTATTCCTTTTTGGGTTGAGAGGAAAGGATGCAATCAAATTAGGACAATTTTCGAGATATGGACTGTCTGAAGTGTATTAAATCTTGACAGATATACCGTTGGGTGTGCGTGTGCCTCAAGTTCCGTCATGAATGTTTATTTACTGTATATGGAACTAACATTTTGCCTGTATTCTAGCTTCAGGTAGTATAATGGTGGTGGATGGATGAAGCGGAAAATGAAATTAAACTATCGTCGTGCTGAACCATGGGGAGCGTTATCATCATGCACAGGACATAAGAGAAACAAGGAGAGCCAATTTTGTGTATGTGGCCATTTAGGAAACGTAGAGCTGTATTGATACTGAAGTGAATAGACGGTGGTGATTTTTGCGATTGTGGAAGGACAAATGGAAAGGCATATTGTTTCCCATAACAAGATGTGTTGCGTGTAGGCTTTATCTTTTTGCAAATTGTTCTTCGTGCTCCTGCTCTTCTTGTTGCTCCTCGAAAGAAAACCGAGTGACAATTTCTAAAGGAAATTAATTTTTGCAAATTGTCACTCGGTTTTCCTTCCCTACACATCCTTGTTTGTTTCTGACCTTTGGATCGAATAAATCAAATTAGAATCAAGCGACGGAAAACCAGGGATGTGTAGAAGAAGAAAAGTGGTGCAAAAATTAGTTCCTTATACAAAAGGTCGTTTTTCACATAATGTAAGTTAAAATTCATGATAACGGTTATTTCTTTCAAGTAAAATCTAAACAATAACCTTACTTTAGGAGAGAAACGTAAGTACAACCATTTGGCCAATATCCAAGAGAATCACGTACTGTCATGCATTTTAAATTTCTTACCGAGCTGAACAATCAAACTGAAAGTCTATTACTAGTGATTATCTAATTTCGTTAACGACGATTATATTGTATCTTTTAAAGATAAAAATATCTAAATTGGAAATTATTACAACACTTGAAACAAACTGAACATAGTCCCGTACAGAAAAAAGAAAAAACTGCAATGCTATAGTACAATTTTACAAGCGCCCGGTAACAAAATCAAGACATTACTGGTGCTCTACGTCAAACCAGAAAAAGATTGACGTCCGAGCATAAATAACTCGAACTCGCTGCAAGGTCAAGTCTCCGCTAGTCAAGACAGCCTTGGCACCTCCTTCAATTCGAGTTCGAAAAACAGAAACGCCATCATTAGAACATTTCACAGGGGAAGATATTACCGTCTGGGCACTAGCTGTGCTCACAATAGGGCATGAAAGATGGTCTAGAGGATTCGTCTCGCATTGAAGCACACACCCCTCTATCGTCACCCTTCCGCTCCTATGAAGCAAGCAACAGCCAAGCTCTGCCTTCACAGTCAAGTTCGCCAATTTGCAGGTCGACAGGAGCTCCAATGCACTGCTCAAACAAAATGAACAGTGCATGCCAAACCATTTTCTCATGATAATAACAAAAGAAAAATACAGTGCGGTCATACTTTCAGGAGCACTTCCGGACTGCTACAGTAACAACTAAAAAAACCATCGTGATGATTTATATTTTTTTCGTTTAAAAAACCTGAAGAAGAAGAATAGCCATTTGGACTGACTGCTTCAAATTGAAACCAGTCCCGCTTTAACGTTAAAACCAATTAACAGTTAAAGTAGGAAAAGTGGAACCAACATGAGGACCACAATATGGTCCAATATCATACAATGTAGGCTAAGGTCATCCCTTAGGCTGATTTTTTTGAAAAATAAAAGATAAATTTATTGTATTTCTCTGATCTTGAATTCAAACATATAGGAAATAAAAGCAGGATTTTAATTTTAATAAAAAGTTAACATCGTCTTACAATCACAAGTGGAAACCTCTAGGACTACTAGTATTTTGTGATATTTAAGGAAGCAAAACGTTGAAAAGAATAAACAAAACAAAAGATCAATTTCTTATTTTGCTAGCATTCTGCCTTACATAAACCATCAAAAAGAGATCCAAAGCAAAAAGAAAAGGAGGAAGAGTGAAAAAGTTACTAAGATATTTTTCAGGCAATAAAATTTCTATCCTCAAAGTCGTAACAACCACAATTTTAACTTTCTGCAAGTAAAATTTAGCAGCATGGAAGTGGCTCCAAGAAAGATTTGACATTGAAGAGAGAAATTTCTCACAATCACCGCACAACAATAAAAAGTAAAGCATAGCCTTAAAACACACATACCTGTCTGAACCTCGAGAACAGTATATAGTCGTCTCATCAGGTTGCTCACCTGCACCAATCTGAACAAAGAAACTTGAAGATAGTGAATGGAGAAAAAGTTGGAAAAATCTACCTCTAGTATTTTGATAAATGTATCCTTCATCCAGGTGATGTAGGATAATCAGAAACAATAGGAATGCAAGAAGATATTTAGACGCGCTCCGGCCTTTGGCATCACACCAAAGGTGTATGCGAACCACTCTAATAGAGAAATTACAAATATTTCGGCATCACACCGGTGGTGCCTTGAAACCCCTCCAAGTTAACCTGTGCCTCACACGGATACAAGAGATCCATAATTTCTTTTCACTCGCTCTCATTTTAAAATCTTACAATACACAAATCTGTAAAGATCCACATTAATCTACTTGAAAATCCTAAAGACTAATTTATGACACCTGATACATTAACCGGCAGAGTACATGTGCAAACTGCATTTATTACATAAGAAACTAAAAGGCCTCTAATTTCTTAAATTTTAAACTTGGCTCCTGCATCACCAGGACAACAGCACACACTGCGTGTGCAAGCATGCTAATTGAGTTTAGGGTACTTGGAGACATACCAGGCAGAGTCGCTTTTTTATTTGAATATTATAAGCAAGATGTCTTCCGCCTGCTGAAATTAGAATAGTATCGCCTGGCCTGTAAGAAAAAGTAATGAACAGTTTAACAGTCCTCCACATGAACAAAAGACTTATACAGACAGATTTAACTTTCCAAACCTTGCAGCCTCAACAGCTGTCTCAAGGTTGGGGAAAACCCCAGGCTCCAAAAGATCTTTGGCGGACCGGTCAACTCGCAGCCACAAGCGAGGGTGACATGCCAAGTAAAGCCATCTGTGGCAAACGAGGGCGGTGTTATACCGATCTGCAAACTCAATAGCAATTTGAGACAGAAGTTGAAAAAAATTGATTTGAAACATGCATTTGAGCTATCAATATCTATCACAAAAACTTGATACAACTGAAATAGACAAATTTAGACAACCATAACATCCATTTTAGTGCCCGCCAAATATATACAGGAACAACCACATCTTTCCATCATAACAACGCAATTATAAAATTGCTAGAAAATTCAAAATACTCTGCCAACATCTCCAATTCTCTACATTCTACAACGAATTCTGTAACTTGACAATACCAGATGCTTTAAGCAGCCGTGCGGTGAACGCAGACCGAACTATTCTTTCGCCTTTTACTAAAAATACTGTGTGCAACGCCGCATCCAGCAGCATATGCCAATTTTTTCAAGGGATTTCTCTTCTTAGAGAAGCCCCACAAAAATCTTTTTAAAAAAGGGAAAAAAAAGAACCATATCTCAGACCATAAAATCGCTAAAAACCAATAAAACCACAAGAATTATGCAATAACAATTACCCAATTTACAGACCGCAGAGCAAAACCCTAATGCCATAATTGACCGAAAATATCAATGAAAGTGCAATTGAACCAAAACCCACAAACTGGCATGGTGCAATGACTCATAAGTGGAATTAAATATTGGGTTTTTGCATAAAAGTTTCAATCTTTTCGAAAAATATAAGAAGAGAATAAGAGAGAAAAGATAGGCACCTGGAATGGGAGAGAGGAAGCTGAAGATGTGCATCAGACATCCATCATCAAGATTATTTATAAGGCATGAGGACGACTTTGAGGAGCTCCTGCTTCTCTTTGTCGTTGTGAGGCTTCTCTTCCACCTTTTTTGCTCTATCTCCTCCACCACGTCCTCCATAGCCTCTTCCCTCTCTGCGTCTCTAGACTCTTGCAAGAGAGATCTCTGTGGAATGTTAAGGCTGTTGACTACGACAAACCGACACACTTACCACTTATCTCCCCACACGTGCCAATTTACTTCATTTTTTATTTGGTTCGTCGGACAATTTTTTTTTTTATTTTTTTTTTTTTTTTGGGACAATTAGTAACACGAAATTGCTCTCTCAATTGGAAGCGACACTTATTAAATTTACAATAAACACTAATTCACATGCCAATTTGTTGTCAAATTAAGTTAATTAACTAAACAATATAAGCGTGATCACATGTGCTAGGCTTTTGATTTCTCTTTCGTTAACTTTGGTTTTGGGTTTTTATGACATGTGGTTTTTGAAATTAATCTACCCCATTAAGATGGTTTTTGAAATAGAAAACTGATCAATGTAATTTCTAAAAATGGATGTTGCACATCAATGTAGTACTTTCATTACAATTTTGTTTTTTTTTTTATATGCTTATGATCGGGTTCTAAAAATTTAATTAAATATTACAATGTAAATTTAAAATACTTAAATAATAATAAAAATGTTCTATTTTTATATGGATTATCCAAGGGAAATGGAGATGTTAGTTTAAGAGTGGTAAGGCACCTAAGTACTGCTCATGCGTCCTGCAAAGAGTAGTGCCCTCAAATGCATTCAGTATGATCTTTCATGCACGACGACGAGTGAGTTCGTTCTTGCCTAAAGGGATATAGAAGGAGAAATGCACAGATAGATAAAGAGAGAGATAGAGGCTCATGTATTCGGAGCTATAAACATACAACGAGTACTACAACGAACATGGGAACACTAAAGGTCGCTCCTCATTGATCATCGCCTTCTTCCGATTCTACTGTAATCTTGCAGTTAGTGCAGTACTACTACTAATGAAAAATACATTAAAGTGGTAGTGGATCTTTCGTTGAACACTACTGCAGAAGAGCGTTAATCTACTTGTTCACGTTTTATTTGGATCTTTTCCTCTTTTCTTGTCAACCAAGAAACGGATTGATTATATTTGTTATACTGGAAAGGTTACATATGCAAAACTTGCATATGCAAAATCTTAGTAACTGAATGATTCCAGTTTCAAGCCAAACTCATGAAACGAGATATGCGCAGAAGATCTTGTTCGTCATATTAATTTTTACACCCTTCGGAAGATGTAATGCGGCTCGATTAACAAAACATCTTGATGCAAAAACTCAAATCTTCCGCTTTCCCTCTGACAAAATACCCATCAAGGAAACCCTGCTTTTGGTTTATTTTGGGATTTTGTTTGCGCTCTCGATTTTCAGACGACGGGCCAATTAGTTGAGATTTGGATTTCTTTCCCTTTTGTCGAAACGCACAAATTTTGTTTCGGTGGGATCGATCTCGAATAGCTGCGTGTGTCTACCCTTTCCAAGGTATGGTGTTCACCGGTGGCATGTTTTAGTGTGTTTCTGGTTTTTTTTTTTTTTTTTTTTCCTTTGTTTTGTATTTCTAATTTATCGTTTGCTGCTTCACAATGGTGATTGTATGTTTTAGTTTGGATGTTTTTCTGATTTTGGGTCGGTCAGTTTTTTTGGGCTGCTTGAGAAAATGTGATCCAATGTTTTGATTGAGTGAAATAATTAAGAGATAAAAAAAGAGTGGAGAATTAGTGTCAAGAGTAGTGATGGAAAAGATGAGGAAAAAACGATAGATGTGGAAGAAAGGGGGGACTAGAAATCGAGGAAAGTGACGAGAAAAAAAAAAAGGGGGTTAAGTGAGCAGCCAAAAGAGAAAAAATGAGGAAAAAAAAAAGGCTTAATGTGGGGAGTAGGCAAAAGAGAAAAGCAAGAGAAGGGAGACAGAACAGGAACAAGGTGTGGTTTTGTTGTTGGTTTTATCCAAATTTTTTTATTTGGAATTTGATTTGAAGCTTATGTGTTATTAGTTTAGTCTAATTCAGTGTTGGTTTATCTAGGTTTGTAGCTAATTTAATGTTAATGTTGGCTGATCTTGATGTTTTAATTTGTTGTGAACTTATATGCGTTTCGTTTTTTTAATTGTTACTTTACAGTTGCTATTTTTTTTTTTTTTAATTTGAGGATTTAGTGTCATTATACACCTTTTGCACCACTGTTTGTTCTGTTTTTCTCGGTTTTACATATAGTTTTGGTAGAATTGGACTGTTCTTTTTAACTTAATTAAAGCGTTTGAGACTTAATTGAATGAAAGTTTAGTTTGGTTTGATCACGATGAGGTGTTTGATGTTGGGTGTATGATCCTCAGGTCCAATGGAAATGTGTAATTCCCATCTTCCAGTGATAAGCTTTTAGGATTTTACAAATTGTGGTTCCTAAAGATCATTCGCTGTATAGAAGCATTATGATTTCTGGGGTTTGATATTTCATTTAGTTTTGTTATATTTGGAATATAAGTTTTTCAAATTGTTTGCTTCTTCTTGGGCCGTGCCATGCAAGAAGGCTATTGAAAGAATTTTTACCAAGGGTTCATCGAAGAGCTCTGTGTGTTTACTGAAAGGCATGGTGTTCATCGATCTAAACTTCTAATTTGTTTCTCAATTTTTTTATAGTTTTGGATTTTTAAAAACCCTCGATTGAATAGGATACTGGCATGGTCCCTTACAGGAGAAAAAAAGCTTCATTTAAAAAAAAAAAAAATTAGTTTTTGTTATTTTTTTCAGAGGAACTCGGGTGGTGGCTATATTACTAATTAGCGACAGAAGTTATATATTCTTATGAGTACACTATGGATGCTGGTTTGCTATGTCACTTTTTGGGATGAAATTACTATAAATACACAAGAAAAATTGGATTGATATTATTGGTTTGTACGCAAAAATACAAAATACCCAGAAACCTGAAGTGGAAAAAAAAGGTATCCATCTCTTTTTCTTCAACTTTTGCTTCGTTTTTACCTCTTTTTCCATTTTTGTGCTTCATAATTTTTTTTAAACATTTAACATTTTTTTCACTGTAATCTGTTTTGTTAAAGGTAATGATAAGGATATATCAATTTTGTTTGTTTGGGGGGTTTATGATCAGAACCCTGATGAGACCTTCAGTGTGAAAGGCTTTTGGTTTCACAAGTCACAACAAAATTGAATACCAAATGAATAAAAATCTGGCCATAAATGCACCACTTCTTTACTCCATATTTATGCACATATCTCCCAATATATATGCACTGATGAGACCCTAAGGAGGTTACGATATGTTTCCCAATTATTAAACAAACTGAGATAACTTAACAAGTTAAATTATTATATCTTTATAAGAAACATTAGCTTATATGTGCACTAAGTAAACTAAGGTCATCTATTATAAGTCTCCCTAAGTCTTCGATCTCTTTACAGTGTGTTATTTGTGTCTGATTGGTTTTTCCCCTATATTTCCCTATGTTTTCTATCACTTTATATGTGCACTGATTAATTTGATCAGTGTGTGTGTATTTGTGTCTAATTGGTGTTGGGTATATTCCAATTTGGGGTCTTTATTTACTTAGTGTGCAATCCAATGTCTTATCTGGTTAGAGAGAACATAATGTTTGACAATAGGATGTCTGATATCTGATCCACCTGGTTCTGTAGATATGCTGAATAAGTAAGGACTGTTTGCCGATTTAGTTGCTTGTCGAGTATCTAGAGATTGTCTTTTACCAGTAGATGATTAATTGTAGATGTAATGCCCCTTAGTAGAAGGAAATTAAGGTGCATTAACAAGAAAAATCAAGATAATGTGTACACAAGTGGATTAGTTTTTTTGCTGTCGGTGTCCAACCTGATGCAAGCATCTTTTGAAGAGTGTAATATCTTTTGAATTGTACATAAAAACCAAGCTGCTTATCTTACTGATCCTATTCACTCATCTATCTCTTTGTTCATTCAGGATTATGTTTAATTTATTCAGGTTAAATGTGTCTTATTCATGCAGTTAAGGCTGGTGCATTCAAATCCCGCAACAACGCGCAGACATTTTTACTAGTATTAGACCATAAGAGGGGGAGTAGGGTTGCTATATTCAAGCTCTCTTTTTTATTTTTATTTGAATTGGATTTCATTTTTTTTTTTATAGGTTGATCATCTTACATCATTCGTGAGAAGTGGGATGGTGAGTTGTTTGTAAAAAATGTGTTTTTATTTAGTTCATTGCAGATTCTTATTCTTTTATTTAGTTCACCATTCATGCTTTTAAAGATAAGAAGTGCAATGCTCTCTCATATGTTAGTTTTGGGAGGCAAAGTTTTGAGCTTTCTGCATTAAATGTCCTGTTTTCGGGACAAAATTTGGTGTTTTAAGATGTCATGAACAAATTGTTGTTGCCTAGGTTTTGTGTTGTTGCGAATTTACTTGAGATCCTCACTTGATATATTCTTACTTCTCCCAATTTCATGAGCAGAAGAAGATGAAAATCAAAGATCTTCGACGTTCCCACGAATGCCTTAGTTATTCTGGTGAACAAAGATCTAGAGTTCAAGTTTGTACATCTGATTCTCACAGGCTAGATGGATGGAGAAAATCAGCAGGAACTTATTCACTGTCACACAAGGTATACTTGAATCAAAATCTATTTTGTTATGCATTGGAAAGTGTTTCTGTTTCATACAAGGTATACTTGAATCATGTCATTTGTTGTGACTTTTTATTTCAATCAGTTTGACTGCCCTTCTTGTGACATCCCACATCTCCCAGAGGAGTGATCCTTATATGTATATTCCCATCCCTACCTAGCACGAGGCCTTTTGGGAGCTCACTGGCTTCGGGTTTTATGGGAATTCCGAAGTTAAGCGAGTAGCACGTGAGAGCATTCCCAGGATGGGTGACCCATCGGGAAGATCTCGTGTGAGTTCCCAGAAACAAAATCGTGAGGGCATGATCGGGGCCCAAAGCGGACAATATCGTGCTATGGTGGTGGAGCGGGCCCGGGAAGTGATCCGCCCCGGGCCGGGATGTGACAATTTGGTATCAGAGCCTAACCCTGGTAGCGTGTGTGTCGACGAGGACGTCGGGCCCCTAAGGGGGGGT